CTTCGTGGAAGAGGGAGCACTGGTGTGGACCTTTTCCAAGCTAATACCATACATATACCTGGCTACAGCATGTTCTATGACAAACACCACTGACCTTCTGCATGTGCGATATCTGTCATGCCATATTATTATATGTGCTGATTTCAATGAAATAGACACCTTTGACCTGCAAAATGAACTTCATCTTTCACAAGTAGTCAACTTTCCCACTTACGAACAAAGAATCCTGGATTTGATCTTTACTGATTTACATGACTGTTAGCATCCTCCTCCTCTATATTATTTTGTGTACAGCAGCCAAAGCAGACTAAGACCAGGCCATTCACACAGTCCTCTATCATACAGTTCGGGCAATGGATTACTCAACACCCATGAACAGACGTTCTTGCCACTGTTGACATGGAGAATAAGTGGCACAACTACCTCGCGACCATTACTATGGCTTTCCACTACTTCTTTTACGGAAAAGACACAAACGCCTCATTCAGCAGAGAAATCAAGCCATCCACTTGCACAACATCACCATTTTCAAATCACTCCACAACAGTCATCAGGGAAATAAAAACGGCCAAGAAAACCTACCAAAACAAACTACAACACCTGGAGCCCAGCCTTGCAAATCGGCTGTGGCCGTTTCCATAGACCAGCTACCTCAGTCCCAGTGAAGCAGCAGAGGCTCTCAATGTCCTACTTTCCCTCGATTTGTCAGCAGCTACCCCCCCCCCCCCCATGGCACCACCTGCCTCCCTGCCTACCTACCTGCCCACTCACTTGCGCCAACTGTCGGCCAGTTTCAGGTGCTGGAAAAAATCTGCATCAAGAGAGCCACCACCCCCTTGGCCTCCCCATGCCCCTCTTCAAGGAGTTCACAATGGAACTTGCCACTCCTCTTACCTCCATAATTAACGCCTCACTGCAATAGTTTAAGTGCTTGTCACCGCTTTTGTCACGCCATCAGGAAAACCCCAAGCCCCGCCTCATTTGGCAAACTACGACCCATCACCATAATTCTGATGCCCAGCCTGCTGTGTGAAAGCAGGACCTTTCAAAAGCAGCAGCTTTCACGGGTATCAGGGAGTGGCACATCCCCTGGCTAGCAGACTTTCTCTTCAACAGGCAACAGGCCGTGTACATGCAGGGCCAAGTTTCCAGCCTCCTGCCACTCACATACAGAGTCCCCCAGGGAATTAGAATAGGTCCCATGTGCTTCCTCGTCATGATTAACGATGCGCTCCTGTACACCGAGCATCGTTGGAAACACATGGATTACTCGACCATCGCCACCGCCATTGGCAATTCCTGCCCTGACTACGACATCCAGCGCACCCTGGACCACCGCAAATCACGTTGCTATCAGCCACCAGTAGTCAGTTTTGATGCAGTTCGACTTCACCAACCCCGCCCCCGCACCCATCTTCCCGTTGGACAACCACCCGTTCGATGTAGTGTGCTCCACCAAGCTGTTCAGTTTCACCATCGACAAAAAGCTCCCCATGGATGCAGCACGTTAGAGATATTGTGAGGTCTGCCTCCTATGAGATTCACATGCTGCGTCCCTTGGTGTCCCCCTTACGGAGCTTCAAAATATCTACAGGCTATTCATCCTGCCCTGACTGACCTACGCATCCCCCGCCTGGTCACCATCCCTCACTGCCATCAAGCTGCTTCAATTATACTACCTCAATGCAGCAGTTTAGTCTGAAGCTGCTGTGCCATCCACGCCAGCGAGAACTGCTGTCCAACGACACGCCGCCTCGCCTGGCCTTACGCACCGCCAACAAACTGGTACCTATCAGTTCCCCCACTGACTGACCGCTACCACCGGAAAACAATACCCACCCTAGTCCGACTCATCAACAAGTACTAGTCATTGGACCGCCCCTTTAGCTTTTCTACGAGCACTAGTCCACAATTACTAGTCCAACACTCCTAGCTCACCTGTACTTGCACTTGTCTTTTGTTTTTGTTTCTTTTATATTTCCTATAGATTGTTAGTTTTTGTTGTTTATATGTGTTTATGTATAGTTTGTCTCTTTATCTGTGTTTCTATACATTTTCAGCCCCTGGCTCCATGAGAATCAATAAACCGATTATTATTATTTATTTATTATTAATATACATACATTCATAAACACGTACATACACATACATATGCACATGCATATATAAATATATTTATAAATAATTTTATATATCTACATAATGTTATATATATATCAATATATATATATATATATATATATATATATATATATATATATATATATGTTATGTAATATATATAAAAAAACACACACATATATAACAGGGTTGGCCGATTTAAATCAAGATTTATATTAAATAATAAAAAAATAATTGATTTAAATAAAAATTTGCTGCCCAAGGCAGCATGGAATTTGAAGGAAAATATGAAAATAAACATACACCTGTTTTATATATATTTTTTTTTGCGGAATTAAACACTATTTTTTTTTTTTTTTTTTTTTTTTTTTACAATGCAACAAAAATGTCCACATTCCATGAAAAATTAAATCAAAGGGTTTTACATGTAATGAACTGTAATTGTTTCTGAAAAGTAAAATACTAAAGCACTTCTTTTGCAATACATCACAACAAAGATTCCACATGGTATTAAAAAAAGGAAATCAAAGAGGTTTACTTAAAATGAACCGTATTTATATCCTGAAGTATTGAATTTAATAGGAAAATATAGCCTTTATTTAAAATTCATACCGGAAGATCAGTCTTTGAAAAGTTATTATCCCCTTCTTTTGAAATAGTTTTGAATAGTTTATAAAAACAAATTATAAATTCGTAGGAATTAAATGCAAAATCTTTGCAAAATAAAGTTACATTTAATTCTAATGACAAAGTTTGTTATTTTATGCATCCGGATCATTACTATAATTAAATACATACATTTTGTGTACATTTATTATTTTAAGCAAAAACGCCAGTTTTACTGCTTTTTTGTTATTAGCCGGTTCCTTAGTTTTGAATGTACAATACCATAGCTTGAAAAAAAACTCTTTCAACCCCTGATGAAGATGCCACTGCAGACAGGAGTTCTGCTGCTGCTGAAATGACATCACTACCCAACACATTTGAATGTGACCTCCACCATTCAACAGTTGATGTACAGTTGGTCGCAGAATCACTAAACTTAATTACAAGAAAAGGAGCCAATTGTCTTGAAACCTTTTTTTTCAGCAGTTACTGCATCTCTATCATTACATGAAGTTGTGATTATTTTTTTCCGTATGTTCAATGGTTCAGCACAGTTATCACTCTGTAATTTGCCCAGTGCCATAGCTATTGGTTCTAGTCGTGCAAGTAGGTCCTCTGCTGACCAGCTCTCTAACTCTGACATCAATCTGCTCCCTGTGAACTTCACATTTTTATATGAAAGCTGGCCAGTTCTTTATGGATATCTTCAGACAGTTTCACATGGTATTCCATCTTGTGTCCTGAGGCATAACAAGACGTTGTCCACCTTCTTGGCAGTATCTTGCTCAAGCATAGTGACTGTTTCTAAAGTATTTATTATGTACATCACATGCTCCTTAACCCATTGCCGCCGGGGAAAATGAACAAAAAATTGGGAAATTTCTGTACTCATTTTTTATATATATTTTTTTTATCTCTGTCTATAGATGGCTCTGCTAGTCCTGATTTCACCTTTCCTTGAATTGGCGGGAAGAAAACGTATTCTTACTAGTGCTATAAATATAGATGGTGTTATTTTTAACAGCAAATTAGGATAACGTTAAATATTTTCGTAAATCGATGACAAGGATGAACGGGCGAGACAGGCAGTACTCGAATTGGCTCATTGGATACTTAGTACAAGTGTAGCCATCTATGTGTAAAAACAATCGAACAAGTCGACTCACAGTGGGCATGGCACGTACGTACATGCCGTCCCTGGCGGCAATGGGTTAATATTGTGTCTGTTGTATCCGCTATATATATATATGTGTGTGTGTGTGTGTGTGTGTGTGTGTGTGTGTGTGTGTGTGTGTGTGTGTGTGTGTGTGTGTGTATAAGTGACTTCTTAATGAAGGTTTGCTTTTCCATAAGTTGTCTTTGTAACAAATGTGTCCAAAGTTGTTGCTTTACGCAACAACTTTTGTGGCAGAAGTTGGACATTCTTTTTGTAATGCTGGAGTTGCATCACTTCTTTGAGGCACCTTTGGAGTCAGATTTTCAGACTCGCCTGGATCATCCAAATCCTCTTCTGACAATTTAGTTTGTAGCTGCTTACACGTTTCTCAGAGAATTCATTATTGCTACTATTCCTTGCAACTCAAGTTTACACTGTTTGCATATAGCTCTCCATCCTATCCCAGACTTTGAAGGAATTCTGTTAAAATGTCCCCACACTGGATCACTCTTCCCACCAGATTCATTAAGCCTTGGGGTCAGTGACATCTCTGCGCTCTTGCAGTTAGCTCAAACCCAAACTACTACACAGTGGCACAAGTCCGGCCATGTCATAACATGATATATACAGGAACTCCTAGGAGTCAGGAAAGTCAGCCCAGTAGCCAGTGGCTACTGGGATGCTTGGCAAGTTCAAACGCTTTGTGAGAGATGATGCAGCATGCTAAAAAAGCACTCCACAGTTGTTTGAAACGAATGTATAGAACATAGAATTATTTTTTATGCTAATAAATGAAATATTAAGGAAATCTGATGTAAATAAAACAAATCTGATAAGAAAAATATGATTTTTTTCTTTTTATCTATATATGTTTATATATGAATATTTATTTATTTAGGTATGTATATATGTATATATGTGTATATATGTACCATATAAATACATAAATATATAACTATATAACTAACACTTTATATATATATAATGTATACATATACACATCCACATCTACATTCACATTCACACACATATAATATATATACATATATATACTTATACACACGCACGCACACATACACACACACACACTCACTCACTCACTCACTCACTCACTCACTCACTCACTCACTCACTCACTCACTCACTCACACACACACACACACACACACACACACACACACTCCACTTTTGTTTTCTTTCAGAAACAACCAAAAAGCGTATCACCAGTGATATTCAGACAAACAAATTATCTGCTAATGCGACACGGTGAACACATTTGCATCGCTCACGTGTCGGGTGCAGTGAGAGCCGGGACGGGGTGACACACACCGTAAAATATTTATGATTTGGTAAAGGGTACCGTAGGCTGAAGGGGAGCATCGTAAAATATAGAAAGCGCCTGGGGAGCCATTTATCACGTAATAACCATGACTAGGCGACGATTTCTTTTTTGTTGTT